TTTAACGATTTTTAGAGAGAAACTGATTTTGAAAACTGCTGAAATTGTTTAAATTCAAAATAGAGGAAGAAAACAAGTACTTTATATAAATACACCGTGAAACAGATTTTAAGTCCGCATTCAACTTTCAAAGTTTCTCAGTTAATTTTTTAAATAATAATAATGATTTTGTTTAAATACCCAAGTTGAAATGAATTCAATCATAAAGTGGTTATTGTAAATCACTGAAATTGTTTTGTACCAAATAATTTTACTAAACACTTAGCAAAATTCATTTATATAAATAAAGCAAATGTTTGATTCAAAATGTCCAATATGGAAAAACTAATTTTGTGAACTGTAATCCCGCATATAAATCAAATTTATTGCTGATCGTATTGTAATAACCACATATCAATACAATAAAAATTAAAGTTTTTGACAAAGTAAATTATATATTCTATTTGCAAATATTTCTGCATTTTACTTAAAAAAGCAAGAGAAGACGTGTTCTGCTGCAACCAAGTGTCTGCAAGAACAGTAATATTATGTTCAGACAGCCAAATTTCTTTAATTTATATAAATTTAACTAAGTTAATTTCGAAAGTGTTCATACTACCTTAAATTAAAGAAATCATATGTTTTTTATTTACAAATCGAATGTTAAAAATTACATGCTCCAAACATCATTAGTATTTGGGAAATTTTAAAAGTTGATTATTATAAATATAAATAATAGCATTTAATTGTTTATTAGCTGTAGTAGATTTCAGGTATGTGAATTATTATTTTTCACTCAATTTCAAATTAATAACAGTTACAGTTTTTTCTCTATATTCAAATTTAAAAATTTTAAGGTGTATTCAAATTGGATATATTTAACTACAAATTATGAATACTTATAGGTTTTTATTAAAAACCTATCTGTTGTACTATGTCTGATTGAAATAAAGTGAGCGTTGGCAACTCCCTAACGTTTACATACTTATCGATAACTTCTGAAGCAATATAAATATTGTCATACTTTCTGTCATTTGTTGTTTTGCTATCGGAAAATTTAGACAAAGTTGTTTTGCGTGAGACATGTAGTTTCTGAAAAAGTTTATAATATCTATGTAATAAAACATTGTTCATAATAGTAACAAAAGTTGAATTAAAGTTTTATAGTAAAAGTATTATAACGTTTGGTATATTTTATACCAAAGAGAAGAAAAACGATTTTGAGGTGGGGCTCCGGAAGCTCAGTATATTTTGGCGTAATCGATAAAGCATTACAAATAGTTTATACTAAAAAAAATATTTACTTTTAGCAAAAATGGCACGCCCAATATATGCCAATCAGCAAAAAATTGCTGAAAAATTAATTATATTAAATGATCGCGGTTTGGGTATTTTAACTCGTATTTATAATATAAAAAAAGCATGCGGTGATACCAAGTCTAAGCCAGGATTCCTATCGGACAAAGCATTGGAGTCATCAATTAAATTTATTGTTAAACGTTTTCCCAACATTGATGTAAAAGGATTAAATGCAATTGTTAATATAAAGTCCGAGATTATAAAATCACTATCATTGTATTATCATACATTTGTGGATTTGTTGGATTTTAAGGATAACGTTTGTGAGCTACTAACAACAATGGATGCTTGCCAAATACATTTGGATATAACGTTAAATTTTGAACTTACAAAAAATTATTTGGATTTAGTTGTCACGTATGTTTCTCTTATGATCGTATTGTCTCGTGTTGAAGATCGCAAAGCTGTTCTGGGATTATATAATGCTGCTTATGAGCAACAAAATAATCAAGCTGATGCTGGCTTTCCACGTCTAGGACAAATGATTTTAGATTATGAAGTTCCACTTAAAAAATTATCCGAAGAATTTATACCACATCAACGACTTTTAACAAATGCATTGCGTTCATTGACGACCATTTATCCTTTGCGAAATTTACCTGCCGATAAATGGCGAGAAATGCAAAAATTAAGTCTCGTCGGTAATCCAGCAATTTTATTAAAAGCCGTACGTACCGACACAATGTCTTGTGAATATGTTTCGTTGGAAGCAATGGATCGTTGGATCATATTTGGTTTACTGCTAAATCATCAAATGTTGGCTCAGTATCCAGAAGTCAACAAGATATGGATATCAGCTTTAGAATCCAGTTGGGTAGTCGCACTTTTCCGCGATGAAGTACTACAAATTCATCAATATATACAAAATACTTTTGATGGCATAAAAGGCTACAGTAAGCGTATTGCTGAAGTAAAAGAAGCATATAGCACAGCCGTTCAAAAAGCTTCATTGATGCACAGAGAAAGAAGAAAGTTTTTACGTACTGCCCTTAAAGAACTGGCACTAATTATGACGGATCAGCCAGGTTTATTGGGTCCGAAAGCAATATTTATTTTTATTGGATTATGTTTGGCTCGGGATGAAATACTTTGGCTTCTTAGACACAATGATAATCCTCCAATGTTAAAGAATAAAGGTAATATTTAAAGAATTAATGAAAGAAATTATATAGTTAATGACTTTCTACTTTTTAGGTAAAAGTAACGAAGACTTGGTTGATCGTCAATTACCTGAGCTACTATTTCACATGGAAGAGTTACGTGCACTTGTGCGCAAGTATAGCCAAGTTATGCAACGTTATTATGTGCAGTATTTATCAGGTTTTGATTCTACTGATCTTAACATCAGAATGCAAAGTTTACAAGTATGTCCGGAAGATGAGAGTATAATACTGTCTTCACTCTATAACACGGCATCCAATTTAACAGTGAAACAAGTCGAAGACAATGAACTATTCGATTTTCGTGCTTTTCGACTTGACTGGTTCCGTTTACAAACTTATATGAGCGTTAGTAAAGCTGCATTGCGCATTAATGAGCATGTGGAGCTGGCCAGATTACTAGATTCGATGGTATTTCATACACGAGTGGTTGATAATTTAGATGAAATATTGGTTGAAACATCCGATTTAAGTATATTTTGCTTTTATAGTAAAATGTTTGACGATCAATTCCATATGTGCTTAGAGTTCCCAGCACAAAATCGTTTCATAATCGCTTTTCCATTAATATGCAGCCACTTCCAAAACTGCACACATGAAATGTGTCCAGAAGAACGTCATCATATACGTGAACGCTCATTAAGTGTGGTTAATATATTTCTAGAGGAAATGGCAAAGGAGGCCAAAAATATAATAACCACAATATGTGATGAGCAGTGCACAATGGCAGATGCATTATTGCCCAAACACTGTGCAAAAATATTATCTGTGCAATCATCTCGTAAGAAAAAAGACAAATCAAAAAAACAGTATGATGACATACGTAAACCAGGTGACGAGTCATATAGGAAAACACGTGAAGATCTCACCACAATGGATAAATTACATATGGCTTTGACAGAACTATGTTTTGCAATTAATTATTGTCCTACTGTTAATGTGTGGGAATTTGCATTTGCACCACGCGAGTATTTATGTCAAAATCTGGAGCATCGTTTTTCTCGAGATCTTGTCGGAATGGTAATGTTTAACCAGGAAACAATGGAAATAGCAAAACCAAGTGAACTACTCGCATCAGTAAGAGCATATATGAATGTGCTACAAACTGTAGAAAATTACGTACATATCGACATAACGAGAGTTTTTAATAATTGCTTATTGCAGCAAACCCAAGCATTAGACTCTCATGGTGAAAAAACAATTGCAGCACTCTATAATACTTGGTATGTTAGAACATTTAAGTATTAATTAAAACAATAAGTAATTTTTACATCTTTAGGTATAGCGAAGTCTTGTTACGACGTGTGTCAGCAGGGAATATTGTATTTTCGATAAGTCAAAAAGCGTTTGTGCCGATTTCACCCGAAGGTTGGGTACCTTTCAATCCTCAAGAATTTTCAGATTTAAATGAATTGCGCGCATTAGCAGAACTGGTAGGACCGTATGGTATTAAAACACTAAATGAGACCTTAATGTGGCATATCGCCAATCAAGTGCAAGAATTAAAGTCACTTGTTGGCACTAACAAAGATGTTCTCATTACATTACGCACAAGCTTTGATAAACCAGAAATAATGAAAGAACAGTTTAAACGTTTGCAAGATGTTGATCGTGTATTGCAGCGCATGACAATTATTGGTGTAATACTTTGTTTCCGTAATTTGGTACATGAAGCATTAGTTGATGTGTTAGAGAATCGAATACCATTTTTGCTTAGTTCTGTAAGAGATTTTCAAGAACATTTACCGGGTGGTGATCAGATTCGCATAGCTTCAGAAATGGCATCATCAGCTGGTCTTATGTGCAAAGTAGATCCGACGCTTGCCAATACATTAAAATCGAAAAAGCCAGAATTTGATGAAAGTGAACATTTAACGTCATGCTTACTTATGGTTTTTGTTGCAGTTTCCATACCAAAATTAGCGCGTAATGAAAACTCCTTTTATCGTGCAACAATCGATGGACATTCAAATAATACACATTGCATGGCTGCAGCAATAAATAATATTTTCGGTGCATTATTTACCATATGTGGTCAGAACGATATGGAGGATCGCATGAAGGAATTTTTAGCTTTGGCTAGTTCATCATTATTGCGTTTAGGACAGGAATCTGATAAGGAGGCTACACGTAATCGTGAATCAATTTATTTACTGCTGGATGAAATAGTTAAACAGTCTCCTTTCTTAACTATGGACTTGCTTGAATCTTGCTTTCCTTACGTCTTGATACGTAATGCGTATCATGCTGTTTATAAACAGGAACAAATATTAGGTCTATAAGTGCATGCACAACAGTAATTTCGTATTGTAACTGAAATACAATTAATTTTAGAATAAGTATTTAAAAATATTACATTTTTATAAACAATATTTAATGGATAATCACTAATTACAAACATGTTTTATATTACAAATTAAAAATCTAAATTGTGTCAAACATAAACAAAATTTTTTTTAATTGATTCCTAGACATAAAATTTAAATTTAAAAGATTATGCACCTAAATTTATATAAATAACAAACAGTATGAAAAATAAAACTTAGTATTAAATTGCTCATGTTTTGTTAAAATATGACTGATACACGATTCCCAAAGATGACGTTGCGAATAATGTGAAATAACTCCACCAAGTTGCAAATCCAAGAAAGCCTTTATAAACTTCCGTACTAAAGACCTAAGTATTTGATAAAGAATGTTAAACTATTTCTATATAAATATATAATGAAAATATTACATTTTTCAAACTTGTTAATGATGCTTGTAACGTTTGTGCAGATTCTAAAATATTAAAATTTTCTTCGATCACATCAATGTCTCCCACACCACTGCCTTCTGCAACTGTTTCTATACTGCTGACAAGTGTTGATGCTTGCGAATCAAGATTGGCAACGCATTCATCTTGTAAAACAGTTTCGGTAAAGAGCCCAGTCCAACTAAAACCACCTAAGCTTTTGTACATCAAAGTGAGGTATAAACACAGTATGACCGGAGCAACAAATTGTAAAGTAACAACACAAAGATAGTAAAAAATAGATGAAATCTAAAAATGCAAATTAATTATGTTATCTACTCTAAATATATATACAAAAGCAAGAACCTTTGTTTGATATTCTTTATTTGTTATACGACCGGCCTCTTTCCGTAAATCCTCCACCTTGTCATGTGCTATATTCAAATAAGATTGTAAGTAGATGGGCATTAAAGCAAACCGTAGAATGACAACAATCAGTACAAGTAGTAGGCGAAGTGTTTCGAATACATGTGGTTTTAGTCTAAAAAAACATTAATGTAACTTTTTTATATTTAAAATTTTATCACTGATTATGAATATAACTTACAATGGTGCATCCATACCCTCAAAAATCCGTACAGTTAAGTAATCTCTGCTAATTGGACGTATCCATAAAATTACTAATATAAAGGGTAGTATAAAGCTTATATTTAATATAATTTGCATTAGTTTATTGTTTCCGTAATATTTTAATGAATCCCAATGCATTTTAGCCATACGCAAACCAGGAAAAGTAAACAGGGATCCCAAAATACCACAACCTAATGCTATGAAGAATTTAACAACTATTTTAGAAGCAGGTCCACTATAACAAAAAAAAATATGGTAGCTACAATTTTAGAGTACATTGAGTTTAGCTTACGAAGATGGCAGTCCTTGTTCAGTTAGGAACTTTGAAGCGCTGTTATTAAAACTATTGTACGCATTCTCCAAGCCGGTCTCTAATATACTTTCATCAACTATAAGCACCATCATGGCTATTAATAGGTAAACAAGACACGCAACAATCACCATGGAACGTTCACCGATTGATTCCTCGCTGTGAAAATATAAAACCGTAAGTGCAGACAGCAGTTTTCTAAAAAATAAAGAAACATTTTGGTTATTTAAACAATTATGTATTACCTTCAAATATTGGTTTAAATATATATATATATATATAGATATATATAATTTTAATGCCTATAAAATGATAAAAATTTATATAGGTTTTTTATTGTTACTTGACTTAAGTCGTTTATTTAACACATAAAATAAATGTTTTTTTTTTATAAAAACTACTCTTATTAAATTGTGTTAAGTATTTAATTATATTTTAATTTTTATTCATTGTACACCGAAGATAGTCGAAATATTTGTATATTTTTGTACAAAAAATAAAATGTAATTAAATTTAATAAGTATAATTTTTTATTTTAAAAAACATTTATAATTTTATGTGTTAAATAAACGACATAAGCCCAGTAACAATAAGAAAACTAATTGAATATTGGAGGTAATAACAACTTATTTTTTAAAATTTGTTTATATAAAAATTTAATATTTATTATTAAGAAAATATAAAAAAGAAAATATTATATATAAATCTATACAATATTTATAAGGAATATAATTATATATATATATTAATTTATACATGTATTTAAAAAAAAATTATTATATAAGTCACATATTCACATTATTTTATGATGGGTTAATAATACTTTAATTTTAAAATACACTAACAAAATGGTAAAAAAATTCACAAATATATTGAAAGTATGCAAATTATGTTTAAATATAAAGTTCACACTTACATTGCGAAAAAAATGACTAGCAAACACCACACCATGCTTAAGTTGACTTCATTTTTAAGCGGGAAGTAAAAATGGTACACCTATTAATGGACACATTTTTATTATATAACCGATTCTATAAAAAAATGCATTTTACTTACTTCTGAAATAACATAAACTAGACCAGCATAAATACTGAAATCCACTAGCCACTGGTATTCAGTAAAATAACGTAAATGAACAACATCTCGTTCTATAACGGGTATCAGCCCCAAATCGACATCAATATTGCGAGGTATGTGAAACTGACCAGTTGTGCCATTTTTTTCACTTGCTGAATTTTTATTTTTGTTATTTTTATTGTGTTTCTCCTTAGGTACACCACCCTTTGTCCGTAGTTCGTTATCTGTAGGTTGTAAGTAACGATGCAATCCAGTAGAACAAAGTATCCATTTCGCAAAAGAAAAATGTGGGTTCAACTTTTGGATTACACTTATCATAACCAAGGTAAGTACAAGTTGAGCGCCAAGCACTGCCTACATTAAAAAAACATAAATTGTTATAAAAATTTTAATATATCTCTTAACATAGTGTGCGTATGCTATTTTTGGACATAATTCTACAAATTTCATTTCAAATAAATTTATTTTTTTGAAATTTACATCACAAATTCATAACTGTAAAAATTTTTTTAATAAAAAAATCTATTTTACATACCATATTGTTGATGTACTATATCTAAGCTTGATAATACAGTAAGTGTTAATTTAACCCAATTAAATTTAGTTTACAATTAATTCATAACTCTTATTTTTAATTAAAAACGGAAACACATTAAAACTTCAATACGACACAGCACATAAATATTTTCATTCGTTATTTTTTGCCATTCGCCGGGGGATGGTATAAAAATAAAACAATGACAGCTGTCAACAGTGTTGCCATTTTAAAGAAATTGTACAGTTTTTTACTACTAAATGGTACTAGATCGGTGTTTACATTATTGACAGTTTTATTTTTTGACATATTCAAAAATTATTTATTTATTTATAAGTTAATATTGAAATAACTTTTAAGGGTAATAAAAAATAAGGAATTGGACTGCTAGGTCCTTCTCCCAGTATTCAAAATTATTTTACTACTATGCAGTCAGTTTAATGTTAAAATGTTTTTTTTAAGCAAATCAATTTAATTATATTAAAATTAATACTTTTGTTATGTCAAAAGTTTATTAAGTAAATTAGATTATATACTGGAAATAAAAAATTTTGAAGCGTGTAGTTTTTCGACTATATATGCATATCAATTATTTAATATAATTACATTGTACAATTTATTTTGCAGATGTGTCAAAATTTTATGGAAGTAATTACAATATTTAAAAAATCTTGTAAGTTTCATATTAAGTTGAAATTAATTTTATAAAATAAATTTAAGAGTTTTTCAGATATTATTAATGAAAGCTCAAATATAATAAATATAGTACATTTAATTCAATTAATTGAAATAATATAAAAATTATTTTTGTTGGTATAGTTCACTACTTTTCGAAACAGTATTAATTTTCAACTTTAATATTTAATAAATTATTTTGATAATTTCAGAATGTACTACCGACAATCAGATCCCTTTGGTTCATATAATTTAAACTAAGGATAATATATATTTTGTCTCTCCATATAATATATTTAGAGCAATAAGTATATTTAAAATATTTAACATATTTTAATATTCGCTATAAGTTTTATAATTACAGACCTGCGAAACCTGTAAAACATATTTCAGACTTATTAAATTCTAATACAAAAACATTTTCATTCAGTGGCACTCGTAGTTGGCGGTTAAAATATCACTTTCTTGCATTCTACTTTTGCGCTGAGATTCTATGTCACGTAAGCGAACAATTCAATAAAAATAAAAAATAATGCACTCTTTTGCATAAATTTATAATCAATTCTATTCAAAAATCAGCAGCGAACAAGTGCGGAATACATTTTTTGTAACAAGTGCAAAACTAATTAAATTAAAATAATTTTTGAATTTTTGCAACGAATGTAAACATGTTTGTTTAATAATTTCTAATAATTTCAAAGTGTGGTTTTTTAAATTAAATGAATTAAAAATTGCAACTATTAAAATTTTCAATTATTTTGTTAAATAAATAAGTTCGCAGTGGAGCTGCAAAAAGAAAAAACCATTGAATTTTTAAGAGTATTAACGTTTGTGCTACTATTTCTAATAATTTCATTATATTTATATAGATTTGCATTCTAAAAGAAATTTAACTCTATAAGGTACTTGCTATATATGCTTATGTAAATTATTATGCAATTAAAATTTTAAAATTGTATTTTGCAAATTCTATTTAAAGAACGAGAAACAATACAATAAATCACAAATAAAAATGGCTCGAACACCAGCCGTTGGCATTGATCTTGGTACTACCTATTCATGTGTTGGGGTGTTTCAACATGGTAAAGTTGAGATTATCGCTAACGATCAAGGCAATCGAGTAACACCATCCTACGTTGCATTTACTGATACTGAACGATTGATTGGAGATGCAGCCAAAAATCAAGTGGCTATGAATCCTAACAACACCATTTTTGGTAAGTTGACAGGGTTTAACTTTCATTCCTCATTAAAATAATTTGTATATATATATATAATATTTACAATAGTTTCATTGTCATAACAAATATTCGAGAAAACTAATACACATCCATTTAATTTGTAGAAAATCATTCCAACACCCAAACACCCACTGTTATTATAATTTTTACGTTTAATAACATACCTCATATTTATACGAAAATACATATATGTATGTCATTACAATTTACATCTATGTATTATTTATATGTATATATACTACAAAAATTATTTCATTACCGCTTTTAATGAATCATTATATGGTCCATATACGTAGGGCTTCTGTTTATACAATAAAACGAACTGAATTGCACTGCCTTTTCTGCTCCGTAAGAATAAAGTATTGATAGCTTTAACTTTGTACTGTACATGTATATAAAGTATTTTACTATTTTTTACTCTATTCAAATAAATAAAAACAACCCAAAAATATTTTGAAAATGGAGGAATTACATTGTTGTCAATTAAACATAAATTTAATTTTATTCTACAGTTTGAAAAAAAAAAAATTAAAAATTTCAGCACATTGACATGGATATTAGCCAAGTTTGCTGGTATTTGAGGTCTGAGCTGATAGCGTTGGTGCTGTTAGCTTCAGTTGGTTTATAAATAGGCTCATATGTATGTGCACATTAGTGCATCACTCATTGTTTTGTTTAAATTTATCTTTTTTTTAAACTATTTTATTTATTTCATGGTTTATAAACAAAAGTGCATTTTGACGTAAAGCTTTATTTATGTGAGTAAAATGCAATAAATGTATTTCGTAAACACTTGTTTGCTGAGTTTTGTTTTTAGAACATACCAGAAAAGTACATACATATGCAAATATATATTTATATGCATAAAACAGTAAATACTTGTAAATTTAATGAATGTAAATAATTATTAATGAAAATTGTTGTGTTCATAAAAACAATTTTTGACAATGATTTAAAATAAGATAATAATACAGTAATAATATTACATATTGTTGATGAATATTTTCAAAAAAAATTTTAAATATTAGAAACATAAATTTTGTTAAAATATTTTTCTTATAAATTCTAAAAATGTATACAAAGGTTTCAACAAAATATTTTTAAAGTCGGTTTTGTTTTTTAAGAATTTTAACTTTTATTTCAAGGGTTATATTTTGTATATTTCTATACGTATTTCGGAACATTCACTTTTGTCTTCATCAGAAGATTTCCTAATATTATACTTTATAACAAATTTTAAAAACTAATGGCATCACATTACAAATTATTTTATATATACATACTATAAAAAAATAAAAAATGAATATTAAATTATTTTAAGTGGCCTCTGAATAAGTAGGCAGGGCTTATTTACCAGATATCATGGCGCATAAGTTAAATTAAACAGAATAATCTTTAAGAAAGCAGGATGGCGGGTCTATCATTCCGTTTTAGTCCAGCGGAATTTATAATATTAGCAATAGGTTTATTCTCTCGTTTCTGTCTTATTCTCTCAAACTCGACTTTAACCATCGGAACTTTCAAATCGAAATGTATGTTTACATATCTGATATACCAGGGTGCAGCAGTTGTCATTATTGCTTGAGCTCTTTGCAGAATTTTTATGTTTGACAAACAAGCATCATCATATAGCTGTAACCCATACATCCAGATTAGCTTGAAGTCTTGGTTATACAACAACACTTTATTCGCTTTACTAAGGGAGACTGATGTCCGTTTAACTAGCCTTGAGCTTCATTCGAGTCCTTTTTTTTTGATATATTTCCGCGAAGTTAAGCGTTTGTCAAGGTGAATACCAAGGTACGTCACATTTTCTGTTTGTACATATAACTACAATTGCGTTGAAAGTGATAGTTGGTGAGAAGGCTCTGTTAAGAGAGTATGTTATATGACGACATTTTTGCTCATTGACTTTAATTCGCCATAGTGACAACCATCTTCCTATGAAGCACAAATGTTTTTGCAATTATTTGGATAATGACATTTTTATGTCAACACAAATTAGCTGTATCGTCAGCAAATGTTGATGTTATTAAATTGGTATTTGTGGGGATATCTGATGGACCAAGAAACAAAGCAGATGGAAGACAGTTTCATCGTCCTCTCCACAACTGCGACAGGTATGATTGAAAGGGACATTTAGATTTCTGTCATTGTTACCTAATCTACAATGATCTGCAAGTAAAACTACCATAAGACTGATATCTATACGGGGCATCTCAATGAGAGAGTTTGATTTCTTTTCAGTGGAGAGTGACCAAATTGTATACAGATGCCTGTATATCCTTGAGTCTTCCAATACTTTATTTAAACTTTCGGCACAAGAAGAGCTCAGTGCCAGTTTGCGTGTTGTCAACGATATGCCCAAATTGTTTAGGTGTTCCGAGTGGCTTTCTAAAGCACCCCATCTGGATAGCTCGTCTGCTTTGCGATTACTGAAAATATCACTATGAATGGGAACCGAGATTAGAAAAATATTGAACTACTTCGACATCTCATTTAGAGATATGTAACAGTCAAAGACTTTTCTAGATGTAAATTGGACTGAGCTGAAGAACTTTAAAACTGTTTGACTGTCCGATAGTATGCATATATTACTATGAAGTATATTATCTACTTCTAGACAAACTATAGCTTCTCTTATAGCAATCACTTCTGCCTGAAAAACACTACAGTGATTTGGAAGCTTGTAATAAGAGAATATATTTAGCCCTACTGAAGTACTAATGCTTTTGAAATATCCATTAAGTGTAAATTTAACATCAATACAGAAAAATTCTCTATATCAATGACAATATTAATAGTATTGTATAAGAGTTTCAGTTAGAGATTTTGAAAAATTAATTTATTACATTAGTTATAGCCTAGATTTTCATTACAGACTTATAAATCTTATAGTTTACATTTTTGGTTTTGCAAGGATGGGCACCGTTATAAATTTTTTTTAAATGCATTCATATTTTTATTTATTATAAATAATGGAATAAATATGTAATAAAATATAATAATTATTGCACCAATTTGTGATCGTCTGAACATTTTAATTGATATTGGCAACAGCCGGTTGTATAAAATATTTTAATGTGTGTAGTCAGGTAAATATTATTTTAAAATAAATCATAGCATTTTTATTTTATAGACACAACAGACATTTTTCATTGAAATATTACAAATTATTTATTTCTACATGTAGAATATTTCGAAACATCACCCCAATAACCTTTATTATTTATTTTTAAATATATGTCGTTCTGATTTCATACAAATTTTATATTAAATATAAAACTTCTGATATATTTTTTGTTTTTAATATACCATATTTATTTTATTTAAAATTTTAAAAACGTTTGGACATTGGTTTTCTATAAAAACCATTTATGAAATTTCTATTCTATTTTTCCTATTTTGGTACTGTTATCCAACCTTTATCTGGATAACTTTATCCTGTTGTTTATATCATTTAATTATATGATTAATATTATTAAGACTTATACTGTTATACTCATTGTTACTGTGTACTTTATTGTTTATTTTAATATATATGGTAAGCTAAGTAGTGCACTGATTGCGTGCATTAGTAAAATGAAGTTATTTACTTAATAATGGGTTTTTTTAAATTGTAGTAAAGCGTAAAAAGATCAACAAATAAATAAGTTCACTTTGTAATGAGGCTATTTTCAATTTCTAGCTTAATTGATGTTAATAATTGTTTTTTTTCGTTTTATCATTTTTTGGTCCTATTTTTGCAACTCTCTAGAAAGCTGTTATTTACTATTTTATAAGCATAAAATTGTTTCAATGTTTTATTGTTTAGAACAGTAGCCTTCTAATGTTTTAAATAATTAATAAAACTTTTATCTCATATCACATGATATATATATCATATAGATATATTATTATTGTGTATATTATTATTCATATAGGCAATGTGCTAAATAAGACTGGTATTAAGCTGGTATTAAATTCTTTTAACAAATCAAGAAAACGCTATATTTCGAAATAAGTGCTCATTATGGTCATTTCGATTTATTATAATAGACTCAGAGCCAATTTTGTAATGCACATTAAAATCTCAGACCAACTCATCCCATATAAAAATGAATTCTATACACAAACCATTTCAGCTTTTTCGTATTTTATATTAACTATTATTACTAATATAATTTGATTGCAGTAATAATAACATAGCATTTATCATAATTCATATCAGAATATTTCTCTGGTAATTGTAGTGTCGATAAATCGGTCATAACTAAAACACGATTTCCCATTACAATAAGCACCTTGGATGTGTATATCTTTTTGTTCCATTTAAAGTAGCTATATATAAAAGAATGCACAAAATATTTTAAAGTAGTGGATCGAACATGAAATTGTTAGGTAAACGTATAAAATGATCTATCTATAACACATAATAATTTAGCAACGTATAAGCCCTAAACGTCACTCAATATCCGACACAATCGTCTTACAGAAAGGACACTACCATATACTTAGATTTAAAGGTATACGTACAAAATGATGCTTATAGAATTTACTATACTTAAGAACGGATTAACCCTAATCGTCACTCAATATCCAGCACATTCAGCTCTTACAGATAGAGCACTGCAATATACTTAGGTTGAAAGGTCTCTGCTAATAACTGCTGTATATTTACATAGGGTGATTTTGGAATTAATTGCCTTTAGAATATATATATAATGAATTTTTTTTTCTATTATACATTTTCATATAAATATTTGATCAGTTTTCAAAAACACATTATTTTCTCTGAGAAACCTTTTCCAATATGCTATATGCGGATATAGCTTACTTTTCAAGTTTTAAGGTCTGAACTTTTTATATTGATTGCACTAACAAAAAACAAAATGACTCCATTAAGTGGCAACTAGTAATATTGGATTCACATGAGAGTTTTGTTTGTAATTTTAGCTGTCAATTGTTTTTGTTTTCAATACCAAATGAAAAATATTGACAGCTAAAATTACAAACAAAACTCTCGTGTAAATCCAGTAAAAGTCTGAAAATAACCTAATATCGAGAAGCGGTGCTACTTGCATTTACATAAATTGAAAAACTCCTGAACTAATTATCATATCACTTTAAACGATTTATAAATAATTACCATTAGCTTCATGTAGAATTTGAATTCCTTATCCAATTCTAATTAATAATTTGATTTTCATTCTCAATTACAAAAATTTAACCATTATTTTCAATACAAAACTGAAGTGAACTTGAACTGAATATCTATCTTCACATTGCAAACATTAATAAAATCTTCTTTAAATAATAATTATATTTTTCAATTAAATTTCTATTTCTTCTAAATTCTTGTACGCGTCTAATAAAGAACATTTTTTATATTTTCATTTCAGTTTTCTAAAAAGAATTATATATGTAATATATATGTAAAATAAAAACTGCCTGCATTTGCAAAAATGTATCTGCCGACAAACTATATCTAATGAATTTTAAAAATAATTGTATCTAATGAAAATGTAAAAACTATTAACAGAATAAAGAAAAAGTCTTTACTCAATTTGTATTTGATTATTTGATTATTTTTTAACTATTCACACAACAAACACACAGTTCAGACTGAATATTGTATATAGCACTACATAATTCATCTATACAATCCGTACTAAGTTTATTTATTGAACTTGCAGATGCGAAACGTTTGATTGGGCGTCGCTTCGATGATGCTACTGTGCAATCTGATATGAAACATTGGCCCTTCGAGGTGTTCAGCGATGGTGGAAAACCCAAAATACGTGTTGAGTATAAAAGCGAAAATAAAACCTTTTTTCCCGAAGAAGTATCTTCTATGGTTTTGACAAAAATGAAAGAAACTGCTGAGGCTTTTCTTGGTAAGACTGTCTTCGACGCTGTTATAACAGTGCCAGCATATTTCAATGATTCTCAGCGTCAGGCAACTAAAGATGCTGGCGCTATTGCCGGTTTGAATGTGTTGCGTATTATAAATGAGCCCACCGCTGCAGCCATAGCATATGGCTTAGATAAGAAAGGTACCAAAGAACGTAATGTGCTTATTTTCGATTTGGGAGGTGGCACCTTCGACGTTTCGATCTTAACAATTGAAGAAGGTATATTTGAGGTGAAATCTACAGCTGGTGATACACATTTAGGTGGAGAGGATTTCGACAATCGTATGGTTAATCATTTTGTACAAGAATTTCAACGTAAGTACAAAAAAGATATAACAAAAAATAAACGTGCCCTACGTCGTTTGCGTACCGCTTGTGAAAGAGCCAAACGTACATTGTCCGCTTCATCACAAGCTAGCATTGAAATTGACTCTCTGTTTGATGGTATTGATTTTTATACATCAATTTCTCGTGCACGTTTCGAGGAACTTAATGCTGATCTTTTCCGTGGTACTATGGATCCAGTGGGAAAAGCTTTAAGAGATGCAAAAATGGATAAGGGACAAATACATGATATTGTCTTGGTTGGTGGTTCAACACGTATACCGAAAGTACAAAAATTGTTGCAAGATTTTTTCAATGGTAAAGAACTGAACAAGTCGATTAATCCTGATGAAGCTGTTGCATATGGTGCAGCTGTACAAGCGGCTATATTGCATGGAGATAAATCTGAAGCTGTACAAGATTTGTTATTATTAGATGTCACGCCATTGTCATTGGGTATAGAAACTGCTGGTGGTGTAATGACAACTCTAATAAAACGCAATACCACTATACCTACTAAGCAAACACAAATCTTCACCACCTATTCGGATAATCAGCCGGGTGTACTCATACAAGTTTATGAAGGTGAACGTGCAATGACTAAGGATAACAATATACTTGGTAAATTTGAATTGAGTGGTATACCACCCGCTCCACGCGGTATACCACAAATTGAAGTGACATTTGATATAGACGCAAATGGTATATTAAATGTTACTGCAATCGAAAAGTCCACCGGCAAAGAGAACAAGATTACAATTACCAACGATAAGGGTCGTTTAAGTAAAGAAGACATTGAGCGTATGGTTAATGAAGCTGAGACCTATCGTAATGAAGATGAAAAGCAACGTGAACGCATTAATGCTAAAAATGCGCTCGAGAGTTATTGTTTCCAAATGAAGGCCGCTTTAGAAGACGAACAAGTAGGATCCAGAGTATCAAGCTCTGATCGCGAAACTGTGATGTCAAAATGTAATGAAGCTATTGCGTGGCTTGACGCTAATCAACAAGCTGAGAAGGACGAATTTGAATATAAGCAAAAGGAATTAGAACGTATATGCTCACCAATTATGACTCGTTTTTACCAAGGTGGCATGCCACCTGGTGCTGCTGCTGGGGCTGCCGGGGCTGCTGGTGGTGCTACCGCTGGGCCAACTATCGAAGAAGTAGACTAAATTTCTTGTAAAACAGATTCTATTTTAGTTTTTTTTATAAAGTTTTTATTGAATTCGTATTTATATTTTCACAAAGTTCTATTAATAATTATTTGCATTGATTTTCAAAATTTTCGTAAGTTTGTACAAATAAATTTTTCGTAACTACTCGGCAAATAATTCACTTGTTTTATTGTGTGTTAAAGTTGTTATACATACATATATTAAGCAATTATAATTTATTTTACGTAAAAGATATTATAAACAAAAATTATAAATTATAAACCATTATTAACTTATAAATAAATAATTAAATTTTATTAACTTTTTCGCACAACTATTTTTTTTTATTATTTCGTAACATCTTAAATATATGTAAATATAAAGTTGAAATTAATTTAATCTGCTATATAGTTTAAGTTCGAGGATATGCCAGCTCAAAAGTTTTATTTATGTAAATATACTTTGTAAATCTTTTTTTCAACTTTTTTTAAGTGACGGAAAAATTTACTATAAAATTTAAAAAATAATTTAAACAAAATACAGATATGTTTTCTACATCTATGTTAAGATTCTCCGATATGCACTACATATAAAGTACATAAAAACTTAAATTCGTTTTACATAATTTTTTTTTACAAATATGTATTTAGTTTTTCACATATACAAACTATACAATATTGAAACAACCTTATAGATTGATATATATTTTTTAACTTTGTTATTGTTTTTATATGAAACTCGTTTTCTTAATTAAAATTATTATATTACTTATTTTAAATTATATAAATACATATGCTGTTGTATGTATTTATTAGAAAGTATACCATAGATAGTTGAAATCGCAGTATTTATAAATAATTTACTAGGTATTATTTATAAACAATTATCTATCAAAAACAATCGTAAATAATAGGAAACCATTTTATAAAAATTAAACAAAAATATATTTAATACCCATATTAGCTACAATAATATAATACATAATATAACTACAAAATTTTCCTATGTATTTATAATTTACTTCACTCTAAATGAATAGTAAAATTTAATTTGTTTATTGAACAAAAAAGTCAGCGCAACAAAAATTAAGAGTAGTAGGGAGGTACCTAACCCGAATTCATCTGGGAGTGCTCAATAGCAATGCCGCGCTCTACCGGGGCGAAAAACTAGTATACTACTATAGAAGATTTAACACCCACAACTTAACGGACACGGTCTATAGGTTGGACCAATGACATGATCGGGGTCTCGCTCTGGGCAATTGGAAATATATGTGGATGCAGACAGTCACAAACACCCCTAAATCTAATTAATGTAATTAGCATTAACACTGTACATAGCTAGGTTAAGATATTGTAGCGTAGCTTCAAGCATTGTACATAGCTAGGTTAGGATAATGTAGCTAGCTAGGTTAAGATAGTGTAGCGTAATTTATTAGATAACCTTAATATAAAGTCAAATAACACTAAGTTAGTCGTAAGAACATAAAATTTATGTTAATAACATTTAAATAAGTAGCCTGTACGCTAAATATAAATAGACTTAAGAAAAGAAAAAATTTTTATTTTTATTGTAATTCTCTAAACCAATTTAATTTCAAACACAAAGAATTTAAATCGTAACTCGTAAGTAGTGAAATATAAATTAAGAAACTATAAGTACTATATTATAAATAATTAATTTACTATTAGTAAAATATTTATTTTGTTAAAATAATGAACCTACGCAGCCAACGGGTCAGAGAGGGCTACATTTAAAGAATTCCAGAATTATTTTAATAATATAATAAAAAAGGATCCGCTGCTTGCTAGTACACATCTACTATATTTGTGGAGGGAAGGAAAGCATTTGCCCATTATAATAAAATAATATTTTAGGCACACTTTTAATAAGATCACTGCATCACACACCCTTCTGGGCTAAGTTCATGATTAAAATATAATATTCCCTTACAAAGGTCAAGGCTAGAGTACGAGCACTTTTTATTACATTTTCTCCTAAAAAAAAGTGAGCAAACTTCAAAACGTTAAAAAAGTTCTTAAACCCAAACCAAACTGTTGGTCTTAGTTCAGGTGGGGGCCTTTTGCCCGTTGTGATACCACGGATTCGCGTTGTTCATATGCAACCCAGAAGCGTCGCTAAAACAACGGCAGTGGTCAGAGTAGAAACAATGTTGAAAGTCACAACTCCCCCATTCAAGTAAAAGTAAACAAACATGACAAGTCCATAAACTTGGTTAAGTTCCTAATTTTGCAGGACAGTTCTGTCAAGTTGGTAAGAAAGTAACTGATTCCTTTAAATCAGATATAGAATCATTTTTTACCCAATGATGGACCATGACACATGAGATGAAGTAAAGTTTCTTCCTCATCCGCTAAACCACAACCCCGACAAAGGTGGTAGAAAATAGTCTCATAGCATGTCTTCTTAGTACTGTTAGTAGTGCTGAGCAGGTCACGCTTTAATTAATGTTGGTCTTAATTAGGTCACGTTCTCAAGAAACCAGTACATAGTTAAAAATAAAATCTGCTTGAAACAATATACAGCATACTATGTTGGAAAAGTAATCATAAATCAAACAAAAAATAAATAAGTAGTGAATTTAAACAAAACATTACAAATATATATTGATTATACATATTAATAAAAAAATAAAAATTTTAAAATAGTACACCTATCCCTCGCTATATGGCCTAAATATGTTCAGGAAATGTTGGATGTAAAGCGAAAAGCACTAATTAATCAATATTTTGATGTAAAATGTAGTACTGTCATACAACGAGAGACGCTGATGCAACATATAAGGTTAATAACGAAAGGGTTATAAGGAAACATTTTAGATAATAAAACTAAAAAATATAAAGGGTCGTTAGTATGCCATATAAAGATCAGTCATATAACGAGGTATAAGTGTATAATAAATTTATTCTTATATATGTATATTAAATTCGCCAATTTTTCTATTATATGTTTTAAGTTATTATAAGTTTTATCAAATAACATATATTAATACCTTTTTATCATAAAAAATATTTAATTCAATATGTTTATAATAATTTTTTTAAATGACATTTTTATATAAAATAAAAATATTTACTTATATTTTAATTCAATAAAACGTATATATTATTTTATTCATTATTATATATTATTAATACATATTATTATTATAACTATATTATTATTATATAACTAAAAAACTATTGCTTTAAAGATTTTTTTTATATTTATATAATATTACATTTTATCAATTTTAGTTATATTATTATAAATAAGTAATACAAATATATATTTATTATGTTATTTATAATTTTTATATTATTAATTTCATTTTTATTATTGTAAATAAATATATTATTGATATTATTATTATAAATATCCAGTCATTTAAAAATATAAATATGTATATAATTACATATTTATTAGCTTTATTATTGAAACGAATATATTATTAATATCATTATTATTAATATTGTTTTATAAATGTTAAATTATTTAAAAATATTATAATTACATATATAAATTTAAGTGCTGGTATAACATTTATAAATTAAAATTTATTACTATTGTTACAATTATTTAATATATTACTTTTATTATTAAGAATTTCATTTAAATCTTATTACAGTTAATTTATTTATATTATAATTATAATTAATTATAATTAATATTATTATTATTCTTTAAGAAGGACACAACAATATTTAATAAATTCTACAAAACACATAGAATTCTAAAATAATAATTTACTATAAATTATATATTAATTTACGTATTGAAATATATAATACAATTCTTAATACTTTCGGGTGTATAGGTTAAAAAGTAAATAATACTGTTTAACATTAATATTGAATTAAATAAATAATATAACAGTTTATAATTATTTCAGCTTTCGAAGCCTTATAACAAATTTTAATTAATATTTTACTAAAATAGTTTGATATCAATCGTTTGCTTTGAATATACAAACAATATAAGAATAATACTAACAACCAAATATTCCATTTAGTTAATTATTTAACGTGTGTTTTGTTTAAGTACTTAATTATTATATACACTTAAAGTCGATTATGCAGTATCTAAGGGGGGTGTAAAGACCACAATTTGTATATGTAAAACCACTTAATTTAAAATTTTTTTAATATACATTAATTATTGTAACTCATTTTCTTAACAACTATTTTTTACGTGTTAATTTTTTTTTATAATTTTTTTTATAAATATTTTAATTGTATGGGTTCTTTAATTTCTTAACGTTAAACACAAATTTTTTTTATGTTTAATGATTTCATTAAACCAATTTTAATTTTCATTGTTTTAAAAAAGTTATAAATATATATGTAATTATTACAAATTAAAAATGTAAATTATAAATCATTTTAAAATAAGAATGCTAGAGATCTTTTAATGTTTAAAATAATAAACGTAATCTTTAAATAAGTGAATTATGCAGGAGTTGCCAAGATGAGAAGGAGGTAGAATCTATCAGCTACTTCCTGTATCTGTGTCCAGGACTGCAGACAAGACGACTTCAATGTCTTAAAGATCATTTCACAGACCTGGAAGAGATAACAAAAGCAAGCGTATCGGATTTCATCAACTTCATCTGAAAAACCAAATGGTTTAACAAGGATAGAAGATAACAAAGGTTAGCAACTCGCCTCTCCGGGCACAATTTTTGAGGGCATCACAATGCGCAATATATGCCTCCGAATGGAAGTGCTGAGAACTATCCTCACGCACCTTCTCAACCTAACCTAAGCTTTAAATATTTAAGTACTAACATATACATTAAGTGCAAAAAAAAAATTCGAAATAAAACGTATCTTAAATCGTTCTTTATAAGATTAGAATAGATAATTACACAAAAGCAAATAAAGTTAAAAAATCCATTAAACAGTTTTTTTAGATACGATGGCAATGTTTCCTATAAGTAATTCTGGCTTAAAAGGGTTAGGAAATCAAATAGTCAATACGATATTGATTTATATATACATTCGTTATTTTAATTGAATTACTGTACATAAAAATACTGATAGTGGCTTGTGTTCTCTTATCAAATTAAAGACTAGATTGTACATATCTTGTATAAAGTAGAATAATAAAGATATATATTAATTTTAATTAAATTAAACTTATAAATAAACCAATAAAATATATAAATTTAAGGCAAAATATGTGCAAATTAATAACTGATTATTTTTTAAATAAAAAATCACAACAATTTTTATTTATATATACATATGTATATATATACGCTTGGATGTCAAATTTTTCCATTTTTAATTTTTTATAAAATTATATCCATTTTCAATTTAAGAACCCATGTTAAATAATTCTATATCCTATAATTTTATAGATTCGTGTGTAAATATATTTTAATATATAACTAAATAAATTCAATATATTAATTGTTTTTTATTAATTGCAAGTACGAATACTATAACAATAATATTTAAAAACTAATTTGTATAAAACAGTTGTAATCAAGCTTCACACTTTTTTTATAAGTACATATAATTATATATTCTTTTTTATTAACTATTTGCTCTATTTTTTAATTAATAACTAATACTATTCGTATTATTTAGACTAAATGGTATGCGCATAGACCTAGTATAACTTATTAAATTTATAATTAGTTTTTATTTTTAAAAATCGTCACGTACTCTTCTTCTTTTATTTTTAAACATTATCCTACTCTTAGTTGGACAGCTACGTTTTTAGCGATTATAATTTTTAGAAGTTCTTTTAAAGCGCCTCAGTCGAAGTACTGCAAGGACCAATATAAGCTGCGCTATCTGCAAATTGCGTTTGTTTTATTGTTTTTCCAGATGGAAAGATCGTTGCAATTGGGCCAGTTGTTGAGCCTGGAATATTGTTTGTTGCAATTTGTCTAATTGCTGATAATGTTGCCCCAGCAACAGTTGGTGTTTCTGACATAGAAGGTTTTAAATCAGACTTTGCGGTAATCGTTATATACTAAAAGAAATTCCAAAAAAAAATTGTTAAAAAAAAATTAAAGTTTGGCATGAGTATATCTATAAATATATATATATCTCTTATTTATAAAAGTGTTAGCACTGTTTTTAACATTTCAGTTAAAAAAAGTTGTAAGTCACAGATACACAGATGTTATATAATTATAATCCCTGTAGCTAAACCATCTTCAACAACTTAGTGTTAACAAAACAGTACTTGCACGCTGATAGCATGGGTGTAGCCCAGAGCTGTGTGGAAAAACTAATTTATTGCTGAAAATAAGGCTTATAAAATAAGGCCTCCCATAAATGGAATGAATCGATGATAAAAGTGTATTGCATCTTGAATTCTAATAATAATAAATAAATTCAATAAGAAAAGTTTTTATTTAGAAACAATATTTCTAATACTTTTATAAAACTAAGGCAGACATGAATCTATTAAGTTCTTTATTCTTTTACTTTAAGCAGATCTTAATTAATTTTTTAATAACTATGATAATGCAACTATTTATATTATATTTTGTTAATATATTGACAAGAAACGTACGAACAGTAGTGAACTAAAACAACAAAAATTTAATTTTTTATATTATTTTAATTAATTGAATTTTTGGCTGCTCATACAGTTGTTCCGAGTATTACCAAATACCCATCATCAGTGGTCTTGGAAATAATTCTTGTATTTAATTATTCGTAAATAATTATTTTCGAGACTGCAAGTACCAGGAATCGAACTTGGGTCCACAAGGGTCCAATAATAATTATAGACAAAATTTTAGAATTTAAGAATCTTAATTGTCCTTAGGTGCTACTTTATTTGACAGTAAAAATCATTTTCAGATAGAATTTTAAAAGTACGAGTATTTTAAAAAACAAAAAGCCACAATGTATTTATTGTATATAACTAGAATACCTATTGATATAATATTTCTGAACTTAAATAATTGAATTTGAACACGTACCTCTTGTGTTTCATCTACAGATGGTAAAAGCTCATCCGTTGAATTTGGCGTTAATGGACTTGGCGTTGGCATACTGATCCTATTTAAAGTGCTATGCTGCATACCCAAGCCATCACCGATTATAATTTGTGGTCTATTTTGTGTTAATTGTTGTTGCTGCTGTAGACGTGCTAAACGTAATTTCATCTCCTGACGTATTTCTTTCTGTTGCACTTCCTTTTCGAAACGCATCATACTATAACTGCGCACGGACGAACTAGTGCTATGCACTGATGCTAGACTTGGTCTTCGTGAACCTAAAATTTATTTAAATCATTTTGTAAAGTAAAGAGGAAAAAATTAAAATAAATATTCATTTAAATAATATGTATATAAATAGGAAATAGAAGAGAACTGCTAGCAGTGTAGAGTATACAAAAAGTAAACAATAAATACACACGTGTTTAATTAAATCAAAATAGTTTATGCATTAAAAAGCTTGAGAAGATTTCAGAAGCTGCAAAGACCGACAAGCCAACTTAATTGAAATAGTTTTAAGCAGCAGCAAAGCAGACGTTTTTACATTCATTATTATATATAAAATTATACTTATTTTTTGTTTTATGTATCAAAATACGAATTACTTAATATATAGAAAGATATATGCTTAATACAATATATATATTTTTCATAGAAGTGGATTCATTACACAGGATGCATTGAAGACACAGCAGCGTGGACATGAGTTAAGCACACTTCTTGAGAAATAAGGAAGAAAAAATTTACAAAATATAGCAGAATTTAAAAAAATTTAATTTGTGTGTGTTATTGGTTTTAAAGTTAATGGTTTTTCAATTTATAATATATAGTTGAAAACTATTATATATATATGTATATAAGAAAATATGAATGCATAAAATGCTTATTTTTTATTTTGAAAGTTTAAGTGTATATAAAAGCAATTTATTTTTAATGTCTGCTTTTATTTATATATATGCTTTACTTGAATAGAGTTTTGAGTTTAATGGAACTTATAATATCAGCTTTAAAAACCTATTTGGAATTTTTGGAGTTAAAAGATTTTTCAAATATTTTAAATTATTTATTTATTTTAAATTGAAAAGCGTAATGAAAGTTATAAAGAAACAGATTGTAACTAGCCCTGTAGCCTGTATACTATTGATTACCATTCGATAAAGTCATTAATGACAAATTAGTCAAATATTTTTGATATAATGATTTATAATATATTTTGCTTGCATTTATTTCTCTAAAGCCATTTACCTTCTGCTCAAAAAGTATTTTGTTGTTTGTTAACTACTCCTTAAGGAATAGACCTTATTCAAAAAATTTTTTGTTATATTGGTACACCCTTTCTTGACATATGGTACAAATTTGAGCGCCATCTGTCAATTAGTTTGTTTACAGCAGCTGTTAATGTGAGACTACCTCAAGTGCATTAAGCGATTTTTACTATGGAAAATTCTAGTTGTACGCGATACGCGATCTGGCAGCATATTCGCCAGATCTGGATCCGTGCGACTTTTTCCTGTTCCCGAAACTCAAATTGCCCCTTCGTGGTAAGCGTTTTGAGTCGATTGAATCGGTAAAAAATAATTCGCTAAAGGAACTAAAAGTCATACCTTCAAGAGCCTACGAAAAGTGTATGGAATATTGGGTTAAGCGTTGACATATGTGTATCGTTTCAGAAGGAGCGCATATTTTGAAGGAGATAAAATAAATTTAGAATAAAATTTAAATTTGTGTGTTTCATTTACAAAATCCGAGTACTTTTTGAGCAGAAGTTAGTTTTATCCTCACAAAATATTATATAATATTATATATATTACATAATATATAAATTATATATATTATATAATATAGGTATTGGTAAATCTGGGGTAACTTTTATAATCAAAATTCATTTTCAGTGCGATTTTTAGTTTCAGTTGCTAAATCTCGAGGTATAACAGTTAAGATTAATTTATAACACTTAAGACTAAGTTATAACACTCTAGATATTTTGTCAGAGTAACCATATTATTCGGAAATTAACTTTCAGGGTTTTATATATCTTTACAGATAAAGTGTGATTTGAGCCGACATAAGTATATATGAAAAATACAAATGCATACTCACACAACTACAAATATGTTAGATTCTTCTAAAAACGATTTTTCTAATTGGGCAAAAAAATTTGACAGATCGAGAGTAAATTTAGATTGGATATATACTTACCAATCGAAAACAGCATAAGTATATATTATTTTATCCTTAAAGTGCAATAATATAACAACATTAGGTTATACCGGCCATCCCTAGGGTATTCACTTAGGCCTATTATAACAACATTATTAGTACAATATAATAGTTTCCGTTTTAATCTGTTATACCGAGATTTTGGGTTTTGCGGTCTTTGACCAATGTTACCAGCGCTGTTAAATAGAGATCTAATAGGTTTCTATTTTATATTTTATAAATCGCTTATTTAAATAAATAAAAATATTTGTGTTATTGTTAAGTATATTTCTTTTATGTAAAGCATATATATAAATAATAATGAATTTTGTTTAGAAAAATGTATTTTCGTTATTTACAAATTATTTCATTTAAACATGCCACCCTTAATGGAATTTAGCAAAACTTCTAAATATATTATTTTAGCAAAGTATTTTTTTAGTAAATAAATAAAATAAAAAGTTTAAAAATGTTAAATATATATTAAAACTTTTATATTGTAAGAACATATTCACCGCCATATTGCTTTTTGTTTTGCTTTCTTACATATTCAGACTGTTAACATTTAGATAAAAAACATTATATATTAATATATAAAATATATTATTTTTAAATTTTTAATAAATTTTGAATGGAATATGATTTATAAAAACTGAAGCGATGAGGTATATTAAATATTTGTTAAATATTTCCTTTTTTTTTATAGAGAACTTCGATATGTTTTAAAATATATATATTTTTTCTTTCAGTTACATTTTTTATTTTTTTTTTAAATTAATTTTTAATATAATTTTCTGTGTTTGTGTTGTATGTGTGTAAAATGTTAATAAACTATTTAATGGTTATTAGGTTATATCAATTGGTTAATTTACTATACAAATATTACGGTTATAATAATTACGAACATTGAACAATTAATTATAAGAAAATAAAAAATTTTTGAATATTATCTAAGGATAGTTCAAGAAAAATTTGTTTTTGTTATAAAATAAGCTAAAAATTCTAACTAAATTCTAATGAAAGACCCGAATAATTTTTCATAATTGTAATTTATATTAATATTTAAAAGATAATGAAGTCACTTTATTTAATTTTTGTTGTGTTAAGCATTTCAAAATAAAAAACCAATACAAATTCCTGACATAATTAAAATAAAGAATATAAATTAATTTTAATATTAAACTAAAGGAGGTTTATTAATAACAAATATAAAAAGTGTTGTAAATAAATTATAATTAGTTTTTAGTATTATGAAATAACACTAATAGGCGAGGAAAAGATGTATCAATGATGTAGTATACAACTTTATAAAATCGATTAGGGAGCCATCAAAGGATTGGAAAAATTAAAGGTATTGGTTGTGGTGTGCCATAAATATTCTAAAAAACAAGAAAAGAAGTAAATCCAATAATATGCAAACTTGATGCCAGACAAAATCGAATACTCTAAGCAATACCTTGAAGCAGTGACATTAATTTCAAAAATTGGGTTACATTGGTAGGGTTGTGCACATCTGATGGAAGAGATAGTATTAGCTCTATAATGCTACAAAAACAAATTCTAACACATCTTCGTCTAAAACGTTTTAGGAAATTAGAAAGAATTTTCTGTGTTGTTTCATCTTTACTGATGAGATTTGAATCTAACATCATAATCCTAAATAAAAAATAAAATGCTAAGAAGTGGATTGAAACCAAATCCGAATCTCTGGTTTGTAGCGAATTTATGTCCAGAAATTGAACAAGAAGATCGTGTTTTTAAGATTGCAAAAAGGTTTTGTTTTGTTAGATTGCCTTTGAACTTGTAATATTATAATATCAGATAATGACTGTAAGCTTGGTTGCAAAAATTCATTATAAAATCTCAGTTTACAGTTAATGCAAAAACAGTTTCAATCAAGATAATGCACTTGCTCAGTTAACTCAAACAACCTAACATTAAAATTAAAGGATAAAAGTACGGATGGAATTTGATTTTCATCACATCGCAATGTTATCTATTTTAGCAAATTTTAATCCAGTAAGTGTTATGGAAAATGCAGAGATCGGATACACTAATTGTCTCGTTGAAATAAGTATATTGAAGTTAAAGTAGAACTTCATATGTTCTAAAATGAAGTCATTTTTAAAACTAAACACCAGTTTTTAATTTAAAATACTAATTAAACCTATTATTAAACCAGAATCTTGGAGAGTAAAGCCAGAAGAACGAAAAGAAAAGGAAGACCGAGAAAGAGATTGAGTGGCAGTGTTCGACAAGAACTGAGAGATATGAATGTCATCAACTGGAAGATAAAAGCCAAAAATATAAAAGAATGAAGAATACATAGACTGTTTAGCTATTGACTATTGATGATGATTGAACCTAGCATGTACTTTACATTTCTAAATTAAATTTAATAATAATTTTTTTTAAAACATAAAAAACTTCAAATCAGATTTTTTAATTTTTCCATTAGATTTTTTTTTATTTTTTTTTATTGTAAACTTATAATATTGATTACTACTGATCATTTGATATTTTAAGGAGAATTTTAAATTTCAAAACTTCCAATTTATTTCAATTTTGATAACCAATTATAGAAAGTAATAATAATTTTTATTATGTATAAATGAAAATAATTATTTTTATATTTAAATAAAAATTGTTATTGAAATGGGTCAGTTGTTTACTCATATAATATAAATATTGAAAATTATCTATGCTTATCTAACAAACTAAAAAGCTCTACAGCCTACGTCTAAGTATATACTATCTATATAACTTTTGCAATTTCTCTGTTAAAATACGAAATAAAATTTTAATATATAATAAATTAACTGGAATGAACATTTAGTATTATAATTATTAAATACAAAATAAACAAAATTGAATAAAAGAAGGTTAGCTAAACATTTAACAGTTGATAGAAGATAGTAGATATTATATATTAGAAGACACAGATTAGAAAAATAATAGAAATTTTGTAATTTTATAAAGAAAAATTTTACACATACATACATACATACAAACGTACATCAAATTAACATCTAAATGTTCGAATGCAAACGAAAATAGGATTTAATAATTTAAATTATTTGAATTTAAGAATTTAAGAATATCTTTTTTAAGACTCGTTTTAAAACCAATACTGCATAACTAACGAACGAACGCAGAAACGAACAATGTTTATGTATTGTACGTGTATGCAAGATTATTATCGAGATTATTGCATAAATCTGCGATTTGCTCACAAATCAGTTTCTTATAACACTAAAATACTATATATCAAACGTTCAGTCAGTATCAGTTATGTATACATTTTGTATCTCATAAATAATATTTTGAATAATATAAATTGCGATATTGAACACAGAGTAATCAACAAAACAAACGAAATAGGATATCGAGCTCGTTTACCGCAAATTTAGGCGTAACGCTGGCTGGCGTCGGCACTGCACCTATTTGTAGGTGCTGATTGCCATTTTCTAAATTATTTAAATCATCGTCATCAGTTCTATAATTATCAATTCCATTAATGCCCAACAATGCTCTAATTCTATCATGATTTTTTGTTTTAGCAGGTGATAGTTCAAGGCTAAGCAGATGACGCTGATGGTTCAATTGTTTTTGTAGATGACGCGTCATTGAGAGAGTGCTATCGCAACTACGACTCCCCGCATCTGAACCATTTTCATCGAGATTATCGCGTGAATTAGCACTGCAGCCAGCGCCGGAGGTTTGTCGCGATGTAGCTTGAGAATTTTGTTTAGACAGTGCTGAAATGTGGCATGATATAAGCAATATGGCGGCCGATCTTGCCGCACCTGTTCGTGATGTTGATACTAATATTCCTTTTGAACCTGCTGTTGTAGCGCCAGCAGAAGATGCACGTCGATTACCATACGAACCAATTGAACCACTAGAACGTAGACTAGAACGAGATGATGGTCGACCGGATTGCACTGTTAATGGTATACCTGTAATATGTGAAGACATATCAGATTCAAGACTAAAATATTTATATTCAATTTATAATAAATTATTATTACAACCAATTTTTAATACATTGTTTTATTATAACTGAGCTTAGGTAGTTAATATTTTTGTCTTTAATTAACATAACATTTTATTTAATTTATATAATAAATAATAGGTTTATAATTGGTGCTATAAAAAGTATCCACCGTGTTTTGGCACATTTTTCAACAAATCAATTATTGAAAATCAATTTTAAACAATTTTATATTGGCCATTATTATTTAAGACCTTTACTATTTTTTAAGTTGGTTCATAATTCCATCAATATAGAACTTCTGAGATTTAACGGTATAAAACGTGGGTAAGTGATTTTCAGCGGCTCTTCGGGCGTTCAATTTACAATTAATTTGAGCTTTAAATGGCAGTTCAGCAAGGAAGACGAAAAAAGTGTACCAAATAGCTCCTATAAAAATTCCTATATTAGTAATTCAATTAAATTTATTACTTTAATAATAAAGCAACTTAAATTTCTACATTATTACTGTTTAGAGAGTTTTATTGACACCAAAACAAAGGGTAGTCAGATGGCCATCCGGTCTACCTATACGATGATACAGGTTCTTAGGAAAATACTTTTGTGATAGTTTATCAGACTGCTCAATGGTGAAGATGAAAGACCTATTAAATTACCTAAATTCAGTGGGATGGATTTAGTCTCTACTCTCCTATACTAGGGTTCTTGCGAGGAATGTGGTAACAAAACGGCGAAAAATCGCTAATTGAGGTACATTTGAAGGTATCTTATGACCTGCCACTGCAACAAACCAACCTATACGATATATGTACGCATTAAAAATTCTCAACCAAGTTACGTGAATTTGTGCCGAGTCAGTAAAAATGTGTGCGGCTTGGCATTGTTATAATGGATTGTTATAATGTCTGCTGTCTAATTCTGATTAGATTTGATTGTTTTATTGAAGTAGTCGAGTTGCTAGCAGTAAAAGATTGAATTAACCATTACACTGTCTACAGAAAGTCATAATAGATAATTCCTTCTTATTCCATCAAGCACTCAACATAACCTAGTCCAACAATCCTAGCTTTGAAGTTGTTTATAATAAGTCTATAACCATGATTGCTTGCGTTGGATATTATCATCCATAATGACTTGCTTCAAACATGACTTGTTGTTTTTCATCAGGATTGATGGTTATTCTATAAATCGAATTTATTTGAATTGAAGTTCCAAATTGTCATAAGGTTAATGTTTAGTGAGTCTGCTATCTTCTGACAACTTATGTCTGTCCCACCCGAGCGAGGTGTTTCTTTAACATCCAAATTTCCAAAACGTAAACGAGAAAACGATTTCCCGGGGTTTGACATTCACTCACATCATCCTCATCATAAACATAACAAATTGTTTGGTATATTATTGTTAGAGTTTGACATTTTGGATAGTAATAAAGCATCACATAGGTTATTTTTGGATATTGAAGTAATTGTTTTAAAAGCTGAGAAATTATACTACTGTCTTTATAAAATATATAATCTAAAATGTCACCTTTCAAGCAACTATTCGTTTGATAAAATCAGATTAGTGTTGCCAAATTTGTCAATACGAACACCATCTATCAATCAATATAAATTTTTAAACGCTGAGAAATCATACTACTGTCTTCATAAAATATATATCCTAAAATGGCACCTTTCAAGCAATTGTTCGTTTGATAAAATCAGATTAATGCTGCCAAATTATCAATACGAACACCATCTAGTGTCAAAAAACGGCGGACACTTTTTATATTACTTTAGAATATATATATAGCAATTGTTTAACTGTGAATGGTCCTTAATATAGAATACGTGCTACTATATTACCTGTATCACTTGAATACATTATAGGTGGTGGCAAATTTGCATCACCAAAATTCCGATGTCTTGGATATTTGGTTTTACTGAATAAATGTAGCACCATACAGATAAGACCTGCTAAAACTGCAATCCCTGTACTAACACCCAATAAAGTGGGCAAATCTGAGGTCAGTTCTTTTAAATCTAAAAATTTATATCAAAACGCGAAAGTTTAGAAAAAAATAAATATAGAGAATTAACAGTTATGTATGTAATAATATATAGTTTTCACTGGATTTAAATAAAAGTTAAGATTTATAATTATTTTACATACCTTGTGTACAAAATACCCTTTTTGTGGGTTTTGTATAGCTGACGGAATGAAAACCACTGGCACATTCGCAAAGTGCATTATGACGCACCTGAACACAGAGTGAGTTTTCATCATTGTACTTGCATGTTTTATCGTAGAAACATTGTTCACCTAGTTTTTTCGCTATTGTTTCGTGACATAAAAGTTTTGATTTGTTATTATGGTACTACATATATATGTATGTACAAATACTATATAATATTTTTTTTTATTAAGTACACTTGTTGAAATATACTTACGTTTTGCACAACCTGTGGTTAAACCAAGTTGCACGGGATAATTTTTTTCACAGCCACAAATTAATGTTTCTTTATCGCAGGTGACATGCAAAAGTCTTGGCTCACATTTCATGTTATTGCACGGAGCTCCGATATATTTTCCTTTTGCTGCAAAGATTAAATTAGAATTTAATTACTTTAATTTATATAAAAAACTATTTAATGACATCTTTAAAAGTGTGATTTTTTCCTAATTATAATACACCTTATCATAGCAGTTTCCTACATTCCTTAACTGCGATTATTTATAAGAATATGTTTTAGTAAATTATGCTATGAACTATTTTTGCTTCTGCTATATTCTATATGAATTACTGCAACTTTTAATTAATAGATTAAAAATTATATTTTAATACAGATATACAGAGCTATTATTAAACCTTGTGACAAATTATAGTACACTAAAACCCCTATTTGCATCATTGATTGGGACCGACAGAATGCGACGCAAATAGAAACAACGAAAATCGAATTACATTTCATCACACATTTAATTTCCAAAATATACTGGTTTTTGAACACTTCTTAACTGATAACTTTAACTGATTAAATATGTACAGAGCCTTATTCTGAATTTGCATTTAGGATAATGGCATTCTTCTTTGATTCTGATTTTCTATTCAAATGCACAGACGGGACTCCATTTTTACAATTAACGGACTCCTATTGTTTATAACTTGTTTGGTCTGCAAATATGTGACAGTTTTTCCATAATTCTTTATGTTGTCCACATCATGATTACAAATTGTTCTTACAATAGTTGGAGATAAACCCAGACTTCTCCTAATGTCAGCAGGTTTTTCTCCAAGTTTAAACCGTTTTAAAATGTCAAACTTTTGTTCCAAGGATAAAAAGTTTATTCATTTATTCATTTATCCATTTTCATACTTTATAAAGCAGAAATTCGCCTTTCCACTTCACCTCACAAATTTAAGCTGACACCTTTTAATGAAAAACTGAACCCCTTTTAAAAAATGTGACCTACAACAAATAAAATGGGAATCCCCTCTGGGCGCATGTATTAAAAATCGACACAAATTGAAACAGTACCGACGCAATCCGAATTAATGCAAATCGGAGCAACGCAAATCGGGATATTAATATGATCTACTAATTCAACTTTCAAATATATATAAAATATAAATACCGACATGCTATCTCACTCAACACAAGATTTACTTAAGCAATACTGCAATACTTAAACTAATTTAAAATTGAGAAAATAAAATTTAAAGTTATTAGATAAATACAGATAATAGATAAATATAGTAACAGATAATGTTACTAAGATAATATAATAATAAAAGTAATAATAATACTAGTAGATAATATAGTTAGGTCACCTACGATCTTTATAATTTACTGAGGTCTACAAACCACCTTGAACCTTTAGCAATACCTAAGAAGCTCTTTGGAAATCAGTTATGCAGTTGCCCAATATCCTCAATAAAATAAACCCTGCTTAGTATAATTATGTTATGCTTAGTTTTTATCCAAAAAATTACAATTAATTTAAAATTATTTAAAATAAACAGTTTGATCTATATTAACCTATAAAGTAATTAATTGTTAAATGAAATATAAATAAAATAAAATATAAAAATAAAATAAAAACTTAATACTCTTAAAACTGGAATACAGGCTTTTCAATAATTTTTTTTTTGACGGATGTCAAATAATAATAATAATAAATATTAATATATAAATAAAAATAATAATATTATTATTTGAAAAGTGTTTATTAATTAAGACTATTTTGACGGATAAAAGAAGGCGCAGCAACACTATTCCAGTATTCAAGAATTGCCCATTTGACAATGGATTGCAATAGAGACAGTTATTTGTAATATTTCTTATGCTTTATGTCAATACAGTTTTCGAGATATCAGACTTAAAAGTTGAAAATGTTTATATTAAAACTATGAAACTAACATAGTGTAATCTCGGTATTTAGAACTATACGTATCAAAATATAGCGTAGTAAAAAAGTTGCTTAAAATAGTTTTCTATACTAAAATACGTTATCAGATGTGCCCAGGATCGCTTCTACCTACTTTTATATATACTTTTTCTACCTCTTCCTTATATGAAATTTTTTAATTCCTGGTCTAAGTAAATACCTAGCAAGAGTATCTGGAGACATATCCACAGTATATCATGTAATTGGGTTGTTTTGGTATATATTTAATCCTTTAACTCCTATGAGGAGCATAGGGCCGCAACAAATAATTTCGACTCGGTACGATTGGTGACCAATAGCTTCAACTCTCCCCAACCTTTCCGCATGTGTGACAATTCCGTATCGGTTTGTCTTCTCCAGGTGTGAGCAGGTCTGCCCTTTCTTCTGCTACCCATCGGGTTCCACTCAATCGCCATTCTTGTGGTGTCACCAGTCGGTCTACGCAAAGTGTGACCGATCCATTCCAATTTGCGCTTTTTAATCTCGTTTCTCATAGGTATTAGCTGAGTTAGAAACCATAGATGATCATTTGAAATTGTATTTCGCCAAAATACTTTAACAATTTTGCGTAATGACTGATTTACAAAAATTTGTAGTGCATTGATGCTGTTTTCCGTAGTATTCCAGGATTTTCACCGAGATTATTATTTAAATATTCGTATTTTAGTCCGACGCGATAGCTGAGATGATCTCCAGACTTTATTTAAGCGACCGAACGCTTGTTTTGCCTTCTTGATACGGTTCTCAATGTCAGCACTGGATCCATCATTTTCTGATATGATGCTTCCAATATAGCACAAAAAATCTACATCCTCAAGACAGCAGTTATTTATAATAAAATCATCTTGGACGCTAGTATTAATGCGCATAACTTTTGTTTTGGTAACATTGACTTTAACTCTCGCTCTGTTTGCCGAAGTTATCAAACGATTTAGGTTTCGAGACATATTATTATATCTGTGTGCCATCAGACATAAATCATCGGCGTAATCGAGACCACACAAGCTATCTTGAAGACCCCACGTTATTCCGCCACCTTAACCCAATGCCTCTGCCAAAACTACGTCCAGGACAATGTTAAACATAGTATGGTATAATAGAGCTATATTGCTTTCAGTTTAATTTTTATCGTTTAATAATTTATGGAAAATTTAGAAAGATTACCGGGACATTATGTATCTCGGAAAGAAAAGAACCTTATTTATTTATACACTAATATAGGAAACAGCTATAAACATTTGTTATGAATAAGCTCTCTTTTATTAGTACCTCTTGGCATCAATTAAAATAAGCTAAAAATAAGGTACTCTATACAAAACTATTACATAAAATAGTCGTAAAATTCACAATTACGCCATGTAAACGTTAAGAATTAATTTTTTGCACACTAAACTCATTATGTTTATTTGAAAATATTTTGCAAGTTGAAAATTTCATTTTTATTATTACAAAAAGTTGTTCATATTAAAACTTAGGTCCACTATTTTGTTGACTTAAAAACATTATTTAAAGCATGAATTATGGCACAAAGCCAGGTCAAGGTCTGTAACGTTATATGCTATTTTATTATACACTTTATATCGTAATACGGCATTGTTTCTAAAAAGTTCTACTCTATGTGTTGTTCATCCATTAAAAGTTTCAACTTATTTTTCTTGGAGGAATTATAAGCAATTGTGTTTAAAATTAAAATACTTCTTTTTTTTTAATTTTAAATGTATAATCTAGTAAAAGAAGAAGAAAATAGAATTTTCTATAATTATATTCTAAATTATATACAATATTTGTCACCACAATAAGGCGCCACACATAATTTAAAAATGTCAATCATACGCATTGTGTGCCGAGTGACAGGTCATTATGAAAGCAAAGAAAAACCTAATAAACATTGGTTATTGATGCGGCGATATTTTAATTTATTATTTTCCCATTAAAAATAAAGAAGAAGTTTAGCTATGGCTTTGTCGAAATTTTAATACCTTTCACACAAATTGTTATATTAAAAATCAATAACAGTATGGTCTCGATAATTCGAACAGTTACTGTACCGATTATCTAAATAAACTTCAAATTATATTTTATACAACTATGAAATATATTATTTTTTTTACGAGATACTTTGAATGAATACACATTACCAACTTTATTTAACAATCAGTTCTATATATCAAAATTACAAAAATTCATATACAAAATACTATATTAATAGCCGATATTAAGTCAGGTTGCAGTAGCGGTCCTATACATCAAAGCTTACTTTAGCATAACTAATATACCATTGTGGTAATACTAATATATATTATATATAAAATATAATATATATACGTATAAAATAAGTGTATATATGTGATTCTGTGTTACTATGGGTTCTTTGGGTCTATGGGCCTATGCTCTATGCCATCTGCTCTATAAATACAATATATGATTATAAAATAAAATAAAATAAAATAAAATAAAATAAAATAAAATAAAATAAAATAAAATAAAATAAAATAAAATCAAAATAAAATAAAATAAAATAAAATAAAATAAAATAAAATAAAATAAAATAAAATAAAATAAAATAAAATAAAATAAAATAAAATAAAAAATAAAATAAAATAAAATAAAATAAAATAAAATAAAATAAAATAAAATAAAATAAAACAAAATAAAATTAAATAAAATAAAATAAAATAAAATAAAATAAAATAAATAAAATAAAATAAAGGAAATAAAGTAAGATATTTTAAGTTGATGATTATACAGATTGAAGATGAGGCTTTTTAAAGATGTAAAAATGAAAATTGATTTTATGATGAAAGAGTAAAATATGTTTACATATACATCACCTGATGGGTCTTTCAAAGTATCCTAAAACTAATCTAAAAAAATTTAATTTCAAAATTATCCTTAAACAAAAATGTTATGGCCTATATTTCTCTTCATTTTATAGTAGAAATTATATAAGATAAATGTTATGTAGATCGATTCTAATAAGAGTGCATCCATTTAAAAAAACTTTTCATATAGTGATAACATTATGAATAAAGTTTAAAAAAAACCAACTTACAATTTAGTTCTCTTCTATATCAAAATTATGGGATATATTATCATGTGAGTGAATTCGATTTAGGAGAGAAATCCATAATAAGCATTTTTTTTTGTATGATTCAGAAATTTCATTCATTGACGATGTAATAATCATTGTTCCTTCCAATCATAATAAAGTTAAAAGAGCTATAATGCGGCTTAAAAAGAATAAAGCTACAGGCGCCGATAATTATAATTAAACGACTAAGCTGCATAAAGAGCTATCAAAACGTAAGCTACAGCTAATTCGCAAGATAAGTGTATACTTAACGATTGGAAGGTGATCCTGCAAACTGAGCCACTTATCGTGGTATCAGTCTTTTAAATAACGCATTTAAGACTCAGTCAAACATGCTATGCAAAAGAAGCCAATCGTTGGCAACGAGTGTCGAATTAGATGGAGTAATGGACTATATAAGCTATACCGCGATATTGATATAGTTAAGCGTATAAAAAGTCAGTGGCTTCGCTGACTTGGTCATGTCGTGCAAATAGCAAAAAATGCTCCGACTAGAAATGTGTTTGATTCGGTACCCGCAGGTGGAAAACGCGGAAGAAACGTTGAATGAACAGGTGTGGAATGAACAGGTGACTAACGATTTAGGGGCGCTCGGTAATACCAACTGTCGACAGCAAACTACTGATCAGGCTGGAAGGCGAAGGATACAAGATGTGACCAAAGACGATACACGTCTGTTATGGCCAACTAAAGTGAAGTAAAGTAGATAATATCGATTCAGTGGTTTAAGAATTTATTTGGTATGAACCAAAAGCAATTGGTTCGTATCAATTTTACTTGCAATTACTTTATTTACTTCCTTACATAAAAAATTTAGGCTTTGATAACTGAAATGCCTTTGAGTTCCATAATTAAGAGCAATATACTTTGTAGAAACAGAGAGAAAAGATTTAAAAATAAAAACTTTTGTATATAGTACGAAAAATTATTTACTACGTACTATATCCGATTTTTAATTAAATATTATGTTTCCAGCAGCTTTCCTTTTATTAGGAATTTTCTATGTCGTAACCTGTCGAGGATGTAATTTTAATTTTGCAATCGACTGAGTGTGTAATAATTTTACTTATAATTGTATATAAAAAATGCTTAAGAATTGCTCTGAAGAAGACTTTAATATTTTACAAGAATGTACATTTTATTACTAGAAAGGATCAAGCAGTCGCCTTCCGTTGCCTGCACACACAAATTATAGCGATTCAGTGTTTTAGTATCAAACAATGAAAGAAACAAAGGAGGAAAATCATAAAAAAATACTGCAAAATCTGTTTGATAATTTATTGTAATTATAAACTAGAGGGAATTTTATTCGATTTAGATTCTACATAGAAAATACATGGAGAAGCCGCACAAAATATTTAAAGGTCAAAGAAGGATTTATGCAGTTTTATTATGTGCACAAGTGCGCATAAAGAAAAAAGGATAAGAATTATTTTTTGGCGCAATATGCTGAGCTTATAAATTTTATTCTTTTTATAATGTTCTTCTATTCATCTAATATAAATATTTGAAGGATGCTGTAAGTGATGTAATGTATAATCGCATTGACTGCAAAAATTTTGTACTTACCACTTTTGTTATTAATTAAAGCATCATATTCATCGAATTCATCGTCGTGGTAATTTGAGTCATCATCATCATCAGGCACATGTATAACATCGCGTTTAAGACGATGTCTATTTAAAGGTTCACTTAATTCGGTAATATTAGACGTATTAAGAAAATCGGCAGCTGCCACTGCAGAAGAAGGTATTGTCGAAGAAGACGAGGAGTGGGTATCGTTCAGTTGTGTTCTTATCATAGTTCTTCCTGGCAATACATTAGATGAACTACCTTGCGCTTCATCTAAGCCATTAACGGTTCGTGCCGCTGTTGAAGCACTTATCAGCACACAACAGTAGATCAGCACCAGTAGTGCGAGATAGAAAAAACTACGACAGTCCAAGTGGTGGCTACCAACGTGCAACATTTTAATTATTTGAGTTTTACGTTTCAATTCCAAAACCACTGCATCAGTGGTGGCATAGGAGGGTGACCGCATTTTATATGTTTCATCGGACATGTTGGTGGCGGATGTGATGACATGGAAAGCAGGAAAGTGAAGGTGATCTAAAATGTATGTTAGCTGTGCTCGTGGCGCCAGTTGCATTGTATGCGCAAAGTATGCATTCGTGATTTTTGCAGTAATACTTTGTGGTTGGGACTTTTGTTTTTCAACATTTCGGCATTGATTCAATTCCTTCTCGTAACTAAAAATTTTTGTTGCCATCGCTTAACTGCACTGTAAGTTATTGAATTACTTTTTATTGGCAAATATTTGGTGTAATTTATACTTTTATTTATTTTCGATAAGTTATTTTAAAGTTTTCCATGTGTTTTTCAATTTTTATCTTTATTTTAGTGAGTCCTTGCTTTGAAACGATATAAGCTTTACATAAGCTCCTCTGTTTGTTGATGGAAGACTACGCATATAACATTTAAATTATATTTTATGTTTATTTTTGTTTATTTCGTTTTGATTTGCTGTTTCTGTAAAGCAGCAGTAGTCTCGCCCCCTCTTCATGTACGTTGTAAAGTTGACCCATAAAAGTTTAATTTCAGCAACGTAACGTGACCCATGAGCTGCCATTTATCAGGACATGCAATGGCTATTTTCCTTTTTGTATGTTTGAACATGACTTCAAAATAAATTTAGCCTGTAATAGAAAAAAAGTAAATATTTAAGTAATTAGTAGAAATATTTGGAAGTCGATGTAAAATACGGTTGTGAAAAAGTTTGATAGGATGTAATGTCTACATCAAGAAAAGTAATTAGAATTTCTTAAACAAATATTCTTAAAACAATATTAAAATGAAAAAAGTTATTATTTATTACTATTATTATAGCCGTAATTTTTTCTTTCAGAATAACAAAAAAATACTCGCAACTTTCGAAAGAAAACATGTGAAGCAACAATAATGCTCTTAAAATCTTAAGAGTTAAGTTTTAGTCGCAAAAATGTTTACGTCTAAAGTTTTAGTGCAGCCAAATTCAAAAATCAGTCTATTGTGAATGTTCACAGAAAATATGTTGCAAGACTCCAGTCATCTGTTAAAACCATATGAACATTTCATTTACTAATAAATTCAAATATCTAAATAAATTAATTAATTTAAATATGTAAGATAAAAATGCTAATCATTGCCTAATATTCTAATAGGCATTAATTAATATCAATATAATATTCTAATATTCTAATTTAGAATAATAAATATTAATATTTATTCTAAATTAATATTCTAATTATTTTAGAATTCTAAATTAATAATTCTAATATTAATTCTTTTATTTAAATCAAGTAATTTTTAGTATTTACAAACTTTACATTCTTTACAATTTTTATACACAACAAAATACATATTAACATATTTTAAAAATGATGCCAATTTGTTTCAACTAGACTTAATCTTGTTTTTTTTACAACTCTGAAAGAAAAAATTACGCGAATTATATTTAATGACTGCAATCGAATTTAAACATCTGTTCTTAAAGTTGATAGCTTTTTTTTTAATTCTTTAAATTATAATTTCGAATATATTTGAAATTCTGAATATATTGTACACTAAATATACTATAATATATACTGTATTATTAAGAGAGTTACGGGATTTCTAAGTCAAACAAACACATTTTAAGTAAAAAATATTTTATTTAACAAATACTTAAATGGAATAGAAAATGTGCTATTAAGAACTTCAAGTTTTTATAATTTTTAAGAATATTTAATACTATTTTGTAGTTCCGAAAGTAAACGTATATCAAATACACGTATGATCCAGTTTTGGATCTGATCTCGATCACAATACTGGATTTTTTTGAGAAAACTTACAATGACTTGTCCGCACATAGTGAAATTGGTCATAACTTAACAATTTAAATTTGTTCTCTTAGCTTGAAGTGATCAAGTACTCGTAATAATGATAGTTTTTCTGGTGCCCAATTCAAGACTGCTCCAAAACAGCAAGGAATCCATAAACAGTACAGTTTTTAAGGGCGTAACGGCAATGACTAGATCGATCACCTTTTTCACACAAATATAGTTAACTTTTTTATTAACAAGCTGCTAAGACAAAAGTGGGCGTCATAGCATTATATAAATGAATCTTACTGAATATTTATTTTAGATAAATACCAAGGTTTCAAACACAACATTTTTCTGTTCCAGATTTTCTGTTTAATTCAAAAAAAATGTATCGGTTCGGAGTCAGTTTCCATCCCGGCAAAAAAATATAAAAACTTAAGCTAGTTTTTAGTTTACAGTTCATAAACTTATTTGGATTTTTAACTTTTATTACTTAACGTGCGATTAAACTGATACCATACAATAAACCGATATATTTTTCAGTTTGGTCTCGGTAAAAAGATCTTTTTTTCCGTTCTTGATTTATTGTTCAGTTTCATGTTGTGATACATTAATTAATAATTCATAAACGTAACTAGAATTTTTAGGTTAGGTCACGTTATACCAGCGATTCCTAGGGTATCCACTTAGGCCTATTGGCCCTTTGCGTGATCATATATATATAGAAAAAAAAGGGTTTAAAACTAGCTAGAACCTTTGGTGAAACTCAAAATGCTGTTAATTTGTGTCAAGTCAAGTCTTGTAATTGATCAAGATCCTTAAGAAAGGGGGGATCTTAAAGTGTTAAGCCGCGACCGTGCATAAGCTGGGCAAAGACAGAGTAGATGAGACGCACTTTCATCGTCTTTGCCACAGCTGCGACAGGTAAGATTAAAAGGGAGATTCAATCTTCTAGCATGGTTTTCTAATCTACGATAATCTGTAAGTAGACCTACCATAAGACTGATATCTCTACGGGGCATCTCAATGAGAATATTGGAATTCCTTTTAGTGGAAAGAACTCAGCAACAATTTACTTGAACTTTTAGTCTTTAATAACGATTTGCTAAGCATTACTTATCAAAAAGGTGATGTTATCTAGCACTTTAATTATCTGCTTTTTAACCGCCATTATTATTAAAATATTTACCGAAAAGAGCAATAAGACTAAGATTACTAATCTAAGATTTTTCGGCATGGGTTATTGAATTTGACTTGAACGGTTTCAAGAAGATGGTGCAATGTGCCATACATCCCGTGACACAAACAATTTATTAAGAAAAAAACTTCAAGTTCAAGCAATATTTATGTGTGGGTTTTTTTTTGGATTTATATTAAATCATTGATTGGTTTACTCTAATAAACCTCAAGTATTCAATGTCATTAAAACCAATTTTATTTGTGTTATTGGTAAAATAAATGTATATTTATGCAAAAAAGTTGCCAAAAATTGGTGTTCCTAAATCGAATTTTTAGAAAAAGCCGCAACCATGTCAAAAATAAAAACTCGTACTAATATCTTATACTATTTTGTTTTTATTATTATAAATATACTCACACCTATTTTGTACATTTTGGAACAAAAATTTTCTTTATTAAAAATTAATTTTTTTCGACTATGGTATATAAAGGGCATTATTATTTAAGACCTCTTACTATTTTTGGGATAGCTTCATAATTCCGTTAATGTAGAACCTTTGAGATTTGTCGGTGAAAAACGTGGTCAAGTGTCAATGACGAACAATTAAACTAATTAATTTAATAATAAAGCAACTTAAATTCCTACTTTAAAACAATTAAAAGATTTTACAGAGACCAAAACAAATGCTAGTCAGACCGTGCAGGGTCCTGGACATATGGCGGATGTATCAAGACTTTCAAGTCACGTTTCGTCAATGTGTTCCAAGTTATCAAACATATGCAATGTCTGATATTATTATGATAACACATATCTTCATTTCTGTTGGCCCATTAAAATCGGTCTGTCTTGATTTTTTCACTCAAGCGGTCGAGTTGTAAGCAATAGAGTACCAGATTAGCTGTCGTACTAGGCTGGCGCAGCTCGTTATAGGCAATTTCCTTCTAATCCCACCAAAAACACAACATAACTTTGTTTGTCATCAAGCTAGACTTTCAGGTCGTTTATGGATATTACACATCTTTTGACCATGATCGCCTGCGTTGAATATTATCATAACGTTCATTGTTTATCGCTCGTAATCATTCGTTTCAAAACTGATCATCTTGTGCTTAAGCCTCGTTTCACAATAGTAATTTGATGAATCAATTTCTTTGTGTTAATTCATGTGATTTGCAAACAACGAGAGTCTTTGCAAAGTCTGTTCTTTTTAAATGGCTTCAAGCTGTCAAGTGGTTGATGTTTGATTCCTGAAACGGAATAGAACAAACCATTGCAGGGTCCGACGTTAACTCACAATATCCTCAAAGATTTGAAATTAGTTTTCTCTTATTAATAGTAAAGAAGCACTACATAGTGTATTACCTCAGATGTTTTACTGGGTTTTAAACCAAAATAACTTCACTAAATAAGGTAATCTGAAATATTATCTTTTAAGCACGTCTATGTTTGACATAATATGATTACTGTTGTCAGCTCAAACCCATCTAATGACAAAAAATAGCGACTACTTTTTGTATTACTCAATATCTCTGAATATATAAAAACGTTACTTAAACGTCCTTTCTTAATTTGTAAATAGCAAGTTAAAGAAAAGATTTCGAATAAGTGAATATTTACGCTTAAAACCGAGTATTATACCATGTTTCCACTGCTTATTCAGTAAGTGACTTAAATAACTTTCGAATTTTGTCATCTCCATTGACATAAGTTACTTATTGCTTGTGAAACAGCTTTTATATGTCAAAAAGTTTTAAGAGGGCTTCTGTTTCCTTAAACAGAAAAAAAAAATTTTACTCAATAATATATCACACAAAATTTTTTTTTGATATGAAACGCTGCAAAACATTTTGTGCGTTTTCTGAAAATTGTTATATTAAATCATATACAGTTATATAGTTTATAAATCTAATACATATTTAATTAATAGAAATAAAAACTTTATTATATATATACTTTCTTAATAAGTTTGTTTTCAGCTCAGCTGTTGTTTGTCTACATTTTACAAATACATATGACACGTATTTCAAATTTTAATAATTTCCCTTATGGGAAATTATTTTTAAGGGTTGCATTCGACATTTTTGGTCTAATTTTTCTTACTTTATTTTTAAGTAAGTTAAAAAGCACGGAAGCTCTTGTATAGTTAACAAAATTTACTTAGTTACTCTTATACTTCATTCACAGTCTCTCATTTAGACACTTGCTCATTGATATTAATGAGTGAATGTTCACATTATAATGAGCTTATTTATGTAGCTGATAGAACTTTTATAAGCTTTTAAAAACTTTACTTAATAATATATCACACAAAAGATTGTTAATATA